CAATATATTGCCCTATACACATTTTTATCTTATATTTGTATATTCGATATTTACATTTGATTGCGACATTCGATTTGGTTGTAACTTATTGGATACTATAAGTCTCATCCCCTTGTACATTTATACCCCCACTCCCGGACACTATTTTGTAATAGCGTAGATTTATATTCCGCAATTTACAGTTTTCAATTATGCCATGGTTAGACCTAGGGTTTGTATGTACATAAAATCAAACGCTAGATAACCTAATACAAGACAAATGCATGTAATCAATACACAATCACACTTGCACCCCCTAGGGTAATCCCACATGTTGCCTTCCAAAATGGGCCATGCTTGCACGTCGAGTATCTTTGGCAAAACAAATCAAATGATCATAAGTCTCAAAGTGTTGCCTAAACGGAATGATCATAGTCCCTTCAAAACAAATTGCCAAAGACACTTGGCATCATTGCATTCATGGTCCATACGATGACCCGCGCCCGTCCCGAACAAACTTCCTAAACACAAGATTGTCTACCAATTTCAATGGTGGAACAAAATTGTTAAAAGGGGTTAAAACATGACAAAAACCTTTGAGTACAATAGGGTAGACAAAACTCTTAGTTACTTGAGATCAAACTTGCAAAAACATTTGCCTTCTTTTCAAAAAATCACAATCCACAACACTTTCAAACAAACTCTCAAAAACATTTGAAAACATCTTTTCGAAAAGATCCACACTTTTGTAAAACACTCAAACACGAGTCAAATACATTAGTTGCCTAAAACAAGGCATCTTTTTCCAAAACATTTTCAAAAAGCACCCACACACACACCATTTTCAAAGCAATCGAAAAACAAGGCAAGTGATCTAAAAAACCAAGTAACTAAGAGCCCATGGATAACCATGGATGAAAAGGGTGCTAATACCTTCCCTTTTCATAATCTACCCCCCGAACCCAAGAAAACATCTCAAAAGGTTTTTGCTGTGCTTTTTAACCTTTCCTTAGGATAAAATAAAAAGTCGGTGGCGACTCTTGCTCAACCGCACAAGTGCGAATACAAACGCAAAACGCTAGTCAGTTCTCCCACCGTATCACACTATGTAATATCAGAGACTTTATGTCTCTTATGGTTTAATATGTAGTTTTATTTCATGTGTTAAGTATGCTACCTTTGCTTAAATTATGTCTATTTTTAGTCTTTTCCTCATCCTTTTTGATATTGACAAAGGGGGAGAAGACATTGTGTTTGCTTGTGTTTAGTAGTGCAAAATTTTTCTCCAGATTTTATAAACATCCTCTTGGAATCATAAGGCTATATTTAGGGGGGAGAAATCAACCTTAGGGGGAGAAGTAATTCAACTATGACATTCATGCAAGCAACATTCAACACACATTGATGCACAAGCAACAACATATGTCAAATTAGTTGCCTACATAAAAAAAGGGGAGAATGTGAATGCATGCACCCCATCAATGTGTTTGATGAAGACCAGTCTGAAATCACCAACCTTGCAGAATTTAACACAATAAAAAATAGGCAGTAGAATAGGCAGTACTTCCCGTAGGAGTGGAAAGCATCACACCGAAAAAAGAAGTGTCACACCGAAAAAAGAAGAAAACTTGGTTATTTGCACATAACGTGAAAACATTATATTAAAATAGAACATGAAAATGAAAAAAAACTTGGTCATGAATGAGTATAGCGCTCACGAACATCTTTCGCGATGAAATCACCCAATTCACCACTAAATTCAACTCTTGTAGGACTACCTCCAATAACCACAATGCAGAAGACATTTCTTTTCTTCTTCTGATATGCTTGTTAAATGAAAGAGAAATGTCAATAAGAAATAAGCAAAATGTCATAAAAGATAAAATGTAAATGTTGTCATTGGAAATGAAATATAAATTACCATATAAATTATCATAGGTATATGTACACGTGTCTTCTCCTGCTTCATTTATAAGTGTTTTATTGAAGATAACTATTTATGTTAGTTCAGATGAAGATAACTTCATACAATATCATTTATCCTGAAGAGGTTTCCTTAACTACTGCAGAGGCTTTGTCTGAAGATTATTCTATAAAAGTATAGTCATTGCTGCCCTGTTGATACACTATAGACATGTATAAATTAGTTATATCTTAAAATAAGTTGAGACAATTATGGCAGATGGACATACTAGTGATTGTACAATCAACAAATGAGCATGCAAGATACCTACAGAAGCCTGTTATAATTGGAAATAGAAGTGGAGTTCCAACAAACCTGGTTATATCAAGTGTGAAATGAATGAATTAGCTTTCATGTATGTCAAAGAATCTCATAAAATTAAAGCATGCAAAGTATATCATTGAAACATGTTTTCAAAATTAAAAATGAATTGGAAAGTTAAAGCAGAAGTAATGATACCTACCATGGAAAAAAAGAAGAACGTCAAAACAAAAATTAAGAATACAAAAGCCAGCTCAAGTTGTAAAGAATGTCGACTAATTTTGAGTATTGTAGTTTGGAATTCAACAATAGTAATTTGATATTTTAAATTCATCAATCCAATAATGCTTACCAAATTAACTCCAAGGCAATTTTCTTTATGGCCAATTTGCTGAAAGCTCTACAAATGATGAAACAGAAATAAACATTAAATCAGTAAATGTGATGTAACTCACTATATTGTTTTGTGTCTTGAAAATCATCTTTAATTTCGTGTTTCACGTTTCATCAAAGTACTAAACCTTCACAACAAAAGAAAAATTGTCATCCATGTACAGAGACAAGCAAGCATATCCAAGATCCAAACCAAACTCAGCTCATGTCATAAGCCTAGTTAATACTGTGGCGAATCTCCAAAAAATTGAGCCTAACAATTTAAGCGAATTTCACCCAATGGTATAAAAACGCCATCAAATACGATATAGATGGCGATAATTAATTGCAACAAGTTAGTAAAATGAATAAAAATCACTTATCTTTTAGTGCAGGTGTCCGTACCGTGATACGTTCTAGTTTGTATGTGCATACTTGCTACTTGTCGGCTTGTATGAGATCAAAAGCTTTTGATGATGGTGAGACTAGACGAATAGTTTTTGCTAGAGACGGAAATGATTTAGGTTTTGGTTAAAAAACGAAAACGAAAAACAAAAATCAGTGAAACACAAAAGCAACAACATAACACCAAAACACCATTCCATGTTAATAATACAAAAACCATGATAAACAATGTGAATCAAACAACATCAACAACAACATTACCAGAATCGAAAAACACCACAACAAAACACCATTCGAAGTTTAAACGAAAAATCCATAAAAAACAAAGTGAAACACAGAAAAGGAACAAATTCATTATCTACAAAAGACATTTCATTGCTTTGCAAAAGAGAAGAGAGGAAATATACTTCACCTGGATCTACTAGAGGGAGAAGAATGTTCCGAGAGGGAATAACTCTTTTGTCTGAAAGGGGATGGCGATCGAATTAAGGTTTGAGGAGATGAAGGAAGAGAAGTAACAGGTGAGAGAAGAGAGAAATCAAGCGACAAATTGTGAAAGAGAGATAAAGAAGAATGTGAATGATAATATTCCAATTGGAAAATAGTGATACACAAACTGTTTATCCAGGTAAAACTAGGTATCAAGGCAAATTTGAAAAAAATGTATGCCACTTGATTTAATGGAGAAATACGATTGAATAATATATGTCTATTTTGTCAATTACCTAAAAAGTCTTTACGTAATGTAATTTTTTTGATGAAAGGGTAAGATTGGAAGTGGCTAAGCATCGATATTAGTTATCAATATTAGGGGTGTTCAAAACCAAACCGGCCCAATAGAAAACCGCAAAACCGAACCGAACCAAACCGAAACCGCAAAAAACCGCATTTGGTTCGGATGTGTTTGGGTCATTTTCTCGTGGAACCGCATTGTTCAGTTCGATTTGCGGTTTGTATTTTACAAACCGAACCAAACCAAACAAAATCGCATTATGTTATAAAATCTTCCTAACCAATATATATTTCTATAATTCTTTAGAGAAATCAACATGTATTATGTGTATATTTTATCATATTTTGTATTATATTCATTTTAATTTACAAATCATAAAAAATAAAATATTATTCATTTATAAATACTATTTTCACAAAATATATTTTATCATATTCTTTGTATAATATTTATTTAAGAATACAATCTTGTTGATATCATTATTTAGATTTAGATAAAATTATAATACACAATTTTATGTATCAAATTATAAATTTATTTTGACAATTATAAATTTTTTATGGTAATGTATGAACATTTAAATATAAAATTATATTTTCCTATATATTTGTATGTATGACATAATAATTATTTTTGTAAAAAACCGAAACAACCGAATCAATCCAAACCGCATTCGTTTGGTTTGGTTTGATTCGGATTTATTTTTAAAAGCCAACCGAATCAAACCGAACCGCATATTTTTTTTCTCTTGCGGTTCAGATAATTTTTTGCTTAAAAACTGCCAAAACCGAACCGCAAACACCCCTAATCAATATTAGTTAGGGAGTTGAAAAATTGTATTTTTACATTATTAACAAAAAAAATATTTTCTTGTAAAAAAAAAACTAAAAGGATATTTTAGACTTTTGGATATATTTAGGGTCTTGGTAGAGTCACAAATAGATTCCCTCAAAACGAAAACCCTCGTATCTTGCGTCATTCTAATACTTGTTTTTTCTCTCCACAACTTCGGAATCGAGATAGCGCACACACAGTTTCATCACTCTCTTTTCAGCTCTTTCTAGGGTTTCTCTCCCCTCTTTTCTTCTCCCATTCGAGTCCATCACTTTGTCATCTGCGAACTCTCCCCCAAATCCGCGTCTCGCGATTGTTTCTTCAATCTGTAAGTGAAAAATTCAAATCAACATGGAAAAAAAACCCCAATCTTTGTTGTTGTTGTTGATGTTCTAACGAGAAATTTGATCAATTGTTTTTGGTTTCAGGATTGGTCGCTCTTGAACGACCTACATGTATTCTTCCAGAGGGAGTGGCGCTTACGGCCAATCGTACCCAGGTCAATCCGGATACGGTCAAAACGTAAGGGTTTCGAAAATTTTCAGTATTTTTCATTAAAATACACTTTTTTTTTGTTTCATATATAAATTGTCATGCTTAAAGAATGGATTTTTATCAATAGCTTGGTAGATTCTAAGGTTGATTTTGGATTTTGTGACTGTAGTTGAGTACTAATTATTCTGGAGCTTCTGTTGGAGGACATGATGCTGCCCAGCATTCTGCAGCTTCGAGGCACTCGGGTATATTAGGTAGTTCTCAGGAGGCCGATGTTGGTAACTATAGGGCTCATAGTGCTGTTGCTCAGTATGGAGGACAGTATAGTTCTGTTTATGGGTCAGCTGCTTTGAGCACAGCTCCTCAGGTCAGCTTTTTTTATCTCTCATTTATATAGTGCTGTGCTTCATGTGGAGAGTCGATTGTATTTTTTTTCTTCTTATTGTGCAGGTTCCTTCATTGGGTACCAAGGGAGCTGCTTCGTCAGCTTTAGATGCTCGGGGAGGGTATTCTTTGGGTGTTTCAGATTCTCCCAAGTTTGCTTCTGGTGACTATGTTCCCTCTTCAAGCCATGGGTATGGTCACAAATCTGATCAATTGTATGGTGACAAGAGTTTGGATTATTCTGGATTAGATAGAAGGCAATATGGAGAACGGCCGAGTGGTTACGTTGGTAGGGATTTGCCGAGTGATCAAGCTGGGCGCTATTCTACTGATGCTGTTGGATACAGTCATCAACATCAGGTATGTTTTACTCCTAGAAAGAGATTGCGGTTGCTTTATTGGTTTATCTGAGTATCTATGTTAGGAACCTATAAGTCTTACCAATGTAATTTAGGTTTCATGCATGCTTTTTTATTGTAATCATATTTCACTCGTTATATAATTCAGCAATCAGAAATTTATGACCGCATTGATCAGGCAACTTTGCTTCGACAAGAGCAACTGCTGAAATCTCAGTCTCTGCAAGCTGCCTCACTGGATGGGGGTGCGAGGTATTTTCTTTCTCGAGTTTTATTTTTTGAAAAATTTGCTTCATTTTTGTCTAATGCTCTGCTTAATGATCACTTGAAAATAGTATTATTTTGCTTAATGAATATGGTATATTTTTTCTATTCTCGGCTAAGCAGCTGTTTAATCTCAAGTTTCTGATATAACTGGGCAGAAGCTGTTCAGCAGTGCCTAGATGTGTTAAATAATTAAAATATTTCTACCTACACTAAGTAGCAACCCGTTTCTGGCAGACAAACTGATTATCTTGCAGCTAGGGGTGCTGCAAGTCGTCATCCAACCCAAGATCTAATGTCTTATGGAGGAAGGATTGATTCTGATCCCCATGCTTCGTCAATGCTAAGTGCTACTTCATATAGTGGACAACATGCACCTTCAATACTAGGAGCAGCACCAAGGAGAAACGTGGATGATCTCTTGTATTCCCAGAATGCGTCAAATCCTGGTTATGGAGTGAGCCTGCCACCTGGTAGGGACTATGCCAGTGGAAAAGGTATTCATGGAACTGCTATGGATTTAGATTACCCAGGAAATCTGCTGCCACATGGTGGGCCTACTGACCGGAAGGACGACCGGGCTAGTTATCTTCGGGAATTTGAACTAAGGGAAGATGAACGACGCCGGGACCGCTTGCGTGATAGAGATAGGGACAGAGAAAGAGACAAAGAACGCGAACGATTGCGTGAACGGGATCGAGAGCGCGAAAAGGAGCGCGAAAAAGAGCGCATGCTGGAGCGGCGTGAAAAGGAGAGGGAGCGAGATCGCAAACGAGCACTTGAAGTTAAACCTGAACGAACTCCAGTCAGATCCTCCAAGGACCCTCGCAGTACTTCAAAGGATCCTCGCGGGTCATCTTTGACAAAGGAGGGGAAATCTTCACGAAGGGACTCCCCACATCGTGGTTTACATAGGTGGATCTTAATGATTTTTTCTATTTCTGCGTCCTGCTCAGGTTCTGAATAACTTAGCTGCTTGTATATCTTGCAGCATTTTGTAACTAACTTAATGTATTGTTATGCTGAAGGCACCGTTCACCTGTTAAAGAAAAACGGAGAGAATATGTCTGCAAGGTAAAAGGAATGAGAACTTAAATTATGAGAATATCCCATTTCAAGAAGCCTTTGTCCTGCTTTATTTTCCTCTGGAGATCCTTGGATAATTGCTGAAGAAGATTTAGTAATTCCTGTTGTAGCTATTAGTTTTGCACTTGGACCTTTTATTATTGTTTAAAACGTTGGACTCAGGTTTATTGAGAAGTTCACTTCTGATCTCTATTTGCCCAAATGATTCAATTCGATGACACTGGGCCATTTCTGTTTTATTTGTTTCCTTTTCTCTTCAAAGTCCTTGTTGAACGTGCTTCCTCATAAGTCTTGTTTGCTTTTGGGTTTTAATTGCTCTTTTCTGTTACTTCTCTTCACACCCTTATGTGTTTTTGGCAGTTCTTATTTCTGGTGATTCGTTCCTTTTTATTCCTCCTTTCTCCTTTCTCTCTGTTCCTTATTGTTGGGCGCTGCTCTTAATTTTGGGATGTCTTTCAATTATTACTCAGCAATTCTCTGCAGCCTTCACTCAAATCTTGTTAAAGAGCTTATATGATTTTAAGAGTATTTCTATCCTTATTGATTCCACATAGACCTGTTTTCTGTTTTGTTCTTTTGTCTATTATATTACTGTTGCATGATTTCTTAAGTTATATTAATTGAGTTTACATTGTCTAAATTACACGAACAGGTGTACCCTTCTTGCTTGGTAAATATTGAGAGGGATTACCTCTCAATTGATAAGCGGTATCCGCGACTCTTCATTTCTCCCGAATTCTCCAAGGTATGCACAAGTTTACCCGCATCTGGTGATAGTTATTTTTGGGTAGATAATCATTTTTTCTAAAATATATCTCAATAAGCACATGATGGAGTTTTAAAGAACAAAATAAGCATATATTGCTTCTTTTAGGGTAAGAACTCAATTTTGATTAGACATTATTTTGTTCATATGCTTCAGGCTGTTGTGAACTGGCCAAAGGAAAATCTTAAACTCTCTTTACACACTCCTGTCAGGTACTTCTCTTCATGTCTCAAATGCTTTTGGTTATTTGCTCTTCTAGTTCTAGCTTAAAATTTTGAGAATTTATCTGTCTGTTTTTGTAGTCCGAGTATCTAGAATTTTTGTAGTAAGAGATGTAAACAACTATTTCTGTAATATTTGGTAAATTTTGTCTGTTTTGTAATCTGAATATCTTAATTTTCTTTAGTAAGACGTACACAAATATTTATGCAATATGTGGTAAAAAGTATTCGTGTGGGATCTCTTTTAAAGTTTAGTACACAAATATTTATGAAATGTATGGTAAAAATATTTGGGTGGGATGTCTTTTAAAGTTTAGTTGATTGGCGGTGGTAACATTTCTGTAATATGTGGTTTCACAATATTTTGTTTTCCTGAAAGTTACTTAATGTTTTTTGTTGTTACTTTTTTAATTTGTTATTTTCTGAAATAAAAAACCATACTCTTCATGTGTAGAATATATTCTTAATTGATTTTGCATTCCCTTCCTTAAGGTGGTAATCATGTTATTGCGTTTGAGAAATTAAAAGTAGAATGACATTAATGTGTTTTGAGCAGTTTTGAGCATGATTTTATTGAAGAAAGTGCCAGAGACACTTCCGGCAAGCTTTTGACGGGACAACCTACAAGTTCAGAACAAGGAAATACAGTTTGGAATGCCAAAGTAGGTTTAAGATCTAAGTTTTAAAGTACACTTTTCTCTTAATTTTATGTGATAAATTGGATTTATTTTTGCTGAGTGTGATTGTTTTGTCTTGTGGCATACAATTTTTTGATCTGTAAAATTTTTTCTCAATAGAAATTTAATAGCAAAAATAGGGTTTTCGAGATCTTGAACTATATTGTTTATTGTCAAGAGACTTCCATAGTAGTATACAAATAAATTGCTCTTAAGAAGTGTATTTTGGCTAAACCCATTGTTTTTCCTGCTACCCCAGACTCTGTTCAGATGTCTTTTACTCCAAATGTTTTTCCCTAATATTTTAATGTTTTGATGGAAAAAAATGAGCCTGCATAGTATTAATTTTGTTCCCTCTTAAGTTTAGGCATGTTGATTGGTCCTAATTTCTGACAGTTATTATGTGTTACTGCTAGTTCCCAGCCTGTGTTCTATTTCCAGCAATGCCTACCTCCCTCTCTCAATATTGCTATTGGCTTGTTTAATTGAGCAATTTTTTCTTTTCTTTTTATGCTTGTATAATTAATGATCATAATTCTCTGTTTACTGATCATCCTGTTACCTGCTATCTGCTGATTGCCCATGCCGCTAACTAATTCATATTTATAGGGATTATTCAATTTACTGGTTTTTGGATTCACATATTTGGTCTTCTGTTTGATATTGATATTTTAACTGTTTAATTCTTGAGAGATTTGTGTTTGATGTGTAGTTTTTTTCCTCCTTGTTTCAGGTTATTTTGATGAGTGGGCTTAGTAGGGGTGCATTGGAGGAGCTGTCATCTGATAAAATTTTTGATGACCGCATTCCTCATATTTGCAATTTCCTTAGGTTTGCAATCCTTAAGAAGGATCATTCATTCATGGCAGTTGGCGGTCCATGGGAACCTGCTGATGGGGGTGATCCATCTAATGATGATCACTCTTTGATTAGAACAGCCCTTAGGTTTATACTTTACTATCATAACATGATTATTACCGTGAAAACTTGTGCTTCTCCTTATTGAATAATGGATATTTCCCCCTTTTTCTTACAGACACTCGAAAGATATTAGTCAGCTTGATTTGCAAACATGTCAACATTGGAACCGGTTTCTTGAGGTATAGTTTATTTTTTGACTATTTATTTTAATTTACCTGTATTTAGCTTAATTCTTCTTTCAGTCCCCTTTTATATTTAAACTGCTACTAAGGAGTATGTCAATAACTATCATTTAAAGTGTTCACTTCTGCTGTATCCTCATGTCTTAAGTTAGATGCGCTTTTTTACATTTGCTTGGTTTAATGATTTTTGTAACATCTGTCGACTCTGTTTCTTTTGCTAATATTTCATTCATTCAAGATTAGTGTTATATCTTTTGGTCATATATAACATCTCATTTAACATAAGAAAGTTAGTTATCAAAAGCTGTTGCATGTTTTCCAGATACATTATGATAGAATTGGTAAAGATGGTTTCTTTAGCCACAAGGAGATTACTGTACTTTATGTTCCTGATTTGTCTGACTGCCTCCCTTCATTGGATGAATGGCGTGATCAGTGGCTTGCCCACAAGAAAGATGTGGCTGAAAGAGAACGTCAAGTTTCTCTAAAGAAAGAGGTTTGATTTTATTTATTAGTTTAGGTCGTTCGCTCATGATTTTTTTTTTGATGAATTGTATTGCAATACACTTTGTTTCCATACTTTCTCTACTACTATCTTTTAATCTTGTTTTGGTAATATTTCAGAAATCGAGGGTAAACAAGGAATCAAATGGTAAGCAAACTACTTACCTACACCTTCTTATCCAATCATATATAGCTGTATCTTTCTAATGCATGTCTTCATAGACATACTCCTGCGCATGAATTGGTACCATTTTCTTCTCATCCGAATTTTCTTTTTCACTAGGTTTGATTATTTTTCTTTTTCAATAATTTATATAAATCAGGTAAGAGGAAAGAATCTTCTACATCTGGAAAATCTGATGTTAAGAAAAAAGAGAAAGATAATAGTGCTGTTAAGGATGTAACCGAAAAAAAAGCTGGATTGAGCAACAGTAAAATTGCTAAGAATGATGCATCGGACATAGGTGATGGTAAGAGTGCAGAGAAAAAGCCACGGGAAACTACCCCCGGTCAAACCACAGGAAGTGTTAAGCCTGTGAAGAAGAAAATTATAAAGAAGATCGTGAAAAAAGTTGTCAATAAGACAAACGATACAGCCAAGAGACAAACTGACAAGCCAGGTGAGAAGGATGTTGCAGATAAAGTGGCCACATCAGATGTGCCTGTTGAGGAGGCCAAGTCTTCTGTGGATCCTACTGAGATTCAAACTCCTGGGAAAGACATAGTTGCGGAGGATATTCCTGTTGGGAAAAATGATAAGGAAATAAACAGTTTAGAAGATAAGCCGCTGGACAAGTTGGATCCAGCAGTTAACACAGGCACCAATGATTCTACTGTGAAAACAATAAAAAAGAAAATTATCAAGCGGGTACCTAAAAAGAAGGTAGTTGACGAGACATCTAAATCTCTAGTAAATGAAGGAAATGTTATGGCAGTTCAGGCACAGGAGGATACCAACAAAACTGACAAGCAGACTGCTGATGCCGACACCATAGTGACCCAGAGCAAAAAACCTGTGAAAGTAGTAACCAAAAGAAAGTTAAAAGCACCAACATCTGGGGTACAAGATGATGCAACTGATTCCAATAAGAAAGATCCAAAGTCTGATAAAAAGAATGAAGAGAATGCCGTGGCAGCTCCTATTAATGACGACACACAAAGCACTGGCAAGAAGGCTACTGATGCAGATACAAAAGCTGTGTCGGTGACTAAGAAAATTGTCAAGGTAGTTCCTAAGAAGAAGTTAAAGTTGACAACCTCTGAAAAGCAAGAAGGTTCAGGCGATTCAAATAAAAATGAAGTGAAGTCTGACAAAGATGACAAGGATGGAAAAGGAACTGGAGAAAAAAGTGGATCCAAAACTGGAGAAAAAAGTGGATCCAAGATAGATAAACAGAAAGCCTCTGAGAAAGATACTACAATTGTCAAGGGGAAACTGAAAGTTGGAGATAAATCAAAAGATGAGAAAGTATCAAAAGAGAAAGATGGAAAAGATGAGCCTAAAAGCAAACCCAGTAAAGAAGTGAAAGAGAAGAAGAAATCTGATGAACCTCCTCGGCACCCCGGATTTATACTTCAAACAAAAGCGACCAAAGATTCTAAAGTACGGTATTTTTGCTTAACTTTAGAAACATTTACACATACTGTCTTATGTACACACTTTAAGTCTAATGTCAATTCTTTTACAGCTACGATCATTGTCACTGTCTCTGGATTCATTGTTGGATTATTCTGACAAAGATGTTGAAGAATCAACAATTGAGGTCTGTTTACATGCTCTTATTTATTTTTCTATGGAACATTTCTCCTCGTTATTTGTGTATCAGACCGTTGCTGATTCAAAATTGACTTTCCCTGTTATTTTTGCAGCTTTCATTGTTTGCTGAATCATTTTATGAAATGCTTCAGTTTCAAATGGGTAGTAGGATTTTGACTTTTCTTCAGGTTGGTCAAGGTTGCTTTTTGTCAGGTTATGTTTGACTTGATTCTCTAATGAAAGTTTAATTACGCATACCATTTTTTCTTCAGAAACTGCGTGAAAAATTCGTTATCAAAAGAGCTCAGCGAAAGAGGCAGCGGGAAGAGGAGGATAATGCAAAGAAGTCTCGCACAAAACGTCAAAAAGGTGATGATCCTCCTGTTAAGATTGAGACAGATATAGACACATCAAATCCAACCCCGGCAGATAACGAGAAAGCTGTTGCCGAGAATGATAATTCTAGTAATAAGGAGGATGATGTGAAGATGGAAAATGCATCAGATGAGGAAGATCCAGAAGAAGAGGATCCGGAAGAATATGAGGAAATGGAAAATGGTAGTCCCCAACAGGACTCATCCGATGATAAAAATGCTGAGCTAGAGGCTGATGCAAAGAATGAATCTGAAAATGTTACTAGCAATGAGAAACCAGCTGATGAAACTTCTAAAGGAGGAATAAAGGTTAAAGATGAGCTGAAGGAGTCCAAGGATGATGTTCAACTCAAGGAAGAAAAGGAGAGCAAGGTTGATAAAATTAAGAAAGATACCCCTGCTAAGGAGGTTGTTGTGGACAAAGAATTGCTGAAGGTACTTGTTTTTCGTGTATACTATGTTTCAGTTGGTTATATAATGCTTCTATTTGGTCATGTATGTATCTGTCACGATTTAGCTTCAGTGAAATAATGCTTTGATTTATTTTTAATTACAGGCTTTTCGATTTTTCGACCGGAATTGTGTTGGCTACATTAGGGTAACAACCCCGGTCTTTATTTTATTATTATTGTCCACATAGTTTATTTTCATCCTTCAAGAATGTTAAAATATTTTATTTTTCTAGGTTGAAGATATGCGGATAATAATCCATAATCTGGGGATGTTCCTTTCTCACAGGGATGTGAAGGTGTGAAAAATTACCCAAGTTTGTTTAAGTTATTTTAGTTTCCCCATGACTCTATTCTTATGTTCTCTACAAATACAGGAACTTGTACAGAGTGCATTGCTGGAGAGCAACACGGGAAGGGACGACCGGATACTTTATATTAAGTTGGTGCGGATGAGTGACATTTGAAGTCCCCTTGTTCCTGCTTGTAATTTGACATTCATTGTTTTTGCTTGGTTTGGTAAAAGGATGTGCTGTCTTTTATTATTGTTAGGGAGAGTAAAAACGTTATAGAGTGGCGGGGCATATTTTCGTGCATGACTTTCTAACATTTTTGGAACTTTTAATATCTGCTGCTTTTTCAACATTTATGTTTAATGTACTTCAAACATTTGGATGTTAAGTAATATTATGTTGGCTTTTACTTTGCATCTTTCACATTTTGTCATGCTTACATGTCAATGTAAGTGTTTGAAGTAAAACTAACCTTATTTGCTGATGGAGTTTGTCAATTGGTAGTCTATGTCTGTATGTGCAGCAGTAAAAAAAAAAAAAAATAGAAATAAAGTATTAGTCAGTGCCTTCAAACATATTGAAATACTAGAAGAAATGAAGTAGCCTTAGCATGAAATAGAAATGATGATACCGATCTTTGTTGCTTTGCTTACATAGAACTTAACATTGGTATTTCCAGAAACAAAATAGTGTTTGAGATAAGTCCCACCTCGGAAGCTATGAGATATATAGTGTTGGCTATGCCATATAAAATAAGGGGAATGTGCCCAACATCTCTTGAAATTTGAAAATGTCTTTCATGCATCCTGAGTTGCATCTTTGAGGGAACATAAAATCACACTAATTTTCGCTTATTTGAGATAAATCTCATTTTGAAAAAATATTGTTCGGAGATGCATCTATATATTATTTGAATTGTATTTGGAGATTCATCTTCGAAATATTCTATGTAAATTAGGATAACTTAATTAACGATTCAGTGATGTTTTCCAAGATGCGTATAAAAAAATGTCGAGTGGGAAATTGAATAGAACATCACTTTATATGGTATTCTTCCTCATGCTCAAATTACGCGTCATTTTCAAAAAAATTTAAAAAATTTCTTTCATCCTCAATAGATTTTTCAACACCAAAATATCATTCTTGTATTTTATCATATCAAAGAGAACAAAATAAATTGAAATTACAGGTGAAGTTAATTCATTTAATCACTTATTCTTTACATTAATGTGTTTTTTGGATTGAAAAAATGAATGTTGAATCCTGATATGTATCTCTGGACGAAGTTTGGTGTAGACAGGATATGTATCTCTGGATTGTCTTGATAGTTTGAGTTTCAAAGTTGTTGAAAGCTCTAAAGATTTGATTAATTTTGGTACAACAAGATGCTGAACAAGAAGTTAAAATATGTGAAGAACAACGTGTCGAACAAGATGTTCTATCATGAAGACTCGACATCTTGGACTGCTACAACAGGATTTTGGTAAATCTGTTCTAAAATTTAACGAGCGCTTTAGCAGTGGATCAAAGATATTTTAACAGAAGATTCGAAGCCCATGGACAACTGAAGATTATAAAAAGAAGATTTAGTCCCGGGGCATCTTAACTAATCCTTGTGTAAAAATTTTTTAAAGTAAAAATAAGGGTTTAGGGTTTTGAGAGTCATGTACTTTCTTGTTGTAAATCACCCTTTGTATCGATTTGATATATTGTGATAGACATTGTTTCTATATAAATTCGGAAGCCTTTAGATAATGAATTATATATTATTCTTGGATGATGCTTTGAAGTAAATTTAAGTATGTTTGTTAGTCAAGAGTCTTGATCGAACTTTATATTGAAAGGAATGTCTTTCAAATAGTTTGATGCAGTCACCAGAAGTTGTGATTGTTAGATATCATTGAAGTGATTTAGGGAGTGAGATAGGTTTCTGGTATCTTAGATGAGGTTTTGAGATAAAGATTACATTGGGTAGTGATTAGGTAAAACAAAGGTTGTTTACCTGTAAATTTGAGGTTGTTTACATAAAATAATACTACAGATAGTGGAATCTTCTTCCTGGCTTGGTAACTTCCAGAGTATATGGTGTTGTACACCAAACTGGGTCATCATATCTTTGTGTTATTATCATTATGTATAGTTCATTTTTCTTATTGATTGACATGTCGTATAAGATGTTGGAACATCTGTCATGACGTTGTTTTGATAAGTATTATATCAGTGTGCTTTATCCATTCCAGGTGTTGTTACACAAAGATATTTGTCTCGACATATGTTAGGGCATTGTTATCTATATATCAGAATTTCAATTGGTATCAGAGCAGACATCTTGTTCTGTTCTGGGTGAGATCTAGAAAAGATACTTTCTGGTACAATGGACTTGAAGGAGAACATTGCCGGTTATAGCTATTGCTATGGTTGTGGTGTTATTTATGAGACATATTTTTCTTCTACTGCACGTGTCTCTGATGTGTGAACCTGTGATCTTCAGGTTGGTTTGTCTTCTGGTGATCTGGGTATTCCCTTGAGGAGGAGGATTAGTTTGGGATGACAGAAAAGGTTATATCTATATACTATAATCACTAAATACTGACTGATATTGATGATATCTCTTCCGCATGATGTCTTATAAGATGTTTTTTTGACATCTTTCCCGGAGCCTGTTGAGGATGTGTTTTGTTTTGCTGCATATGTCTCTGATGAAAGAACTCCATTAGACTTGTGTGCTGTGGTTCAAGAAAGATCTACTCTTAGAATAGTTTGAGTGGTTGTCCAGAGAAGTGATAAATATGTATTTTATGGTCAAAATCTCTTGAGTCTCTCTCAAGAACCTTTAAGCTCCCATCTAAGATATAGAGGTCTAGCTGCTCACATCCCAGATTAATAAAGCAAGATGGGGTCAGTCTTTATAGAAGTAAAAGACCAGCTGGGAGTAAGATAAAGAGAAAAGGTTGTGTTGATTCTTTCACTCTCTGATAAATGGTTGGTAAATACTCTTATCATGTATAAATTAGCCAAAGATACTTAAGATTTCTCTCAAGTCCACTCATAATGACACTTCTATTTGTGAAAAGAGCTCTGAAGAGAAAATTACCAAGATGAAGATACTCTGGGAGTGACAAACCTCTACAGAAAGACAAGAGCAACTTATTTTTGTTATTGAAGAGCTTGATTTTTGATGTAGGCGATTTATTTTCACCATATGTGTTCTTGTAATAATAACTCTCTGATCCTAAAGCTTGATCAAGTCTGTTAGGATACTCTCCTTCTTAAAGAAGGTTGATAAGGTTTGGCCAGCTAAGTCGGTAAGATAAAGCCATGATTGTTAAAGGAAAGTTGAGTCAAGGATGTCTTCCTTGACGTCTCAACATTGTCCTTGATAAGGGAAATTACATGATTTGTGTCCCTATAATGTTGTTATCCTCTAGATCGTATGTATGACCACATGAACAATGATTTAAAATCAATTTCTATTTGTGACATCCACAAGTATTTATTCGCTTATCCTTTATTTGGAATTCAAGAGATCTGAAGTATAAATGTTACACCAGGATGCAATATCATTATTTGAGAAATATCAAGAACTTATCCCATGGATTTGATTAATGCTTGCCAAGTGGGAGTCCTGAAAGACGAACACAGGTGTATGTTCTCCTTTGGAAATAAGTATCATATGTGTAGTCTTCAAAAGATCCTTAACCTGTCTTGAATAAAGAGGCTGATGTAGATGAAGACATCACCAGTCTGGTGAATATCCATGTGTTAGTTTATTTCTGATCTAATTTACAGAAGCACAGGAGCTAGGCCTTTACCTGTGAAGGAGTTTGTAGTATTCTGCTGAAGAAGTGTTAAAGATTTCTCTATTGGGATATGAAAGTTGATATTAAAGGTCTAGGACTAGTGTCCAGACATCTTGAAGAATTGTCTGCTCAAGGACAGAAGAATATATTGGAGAATTGTTCTTGATGATCGGTTAAGCGAGTTGGAGGATGTCTACTCAAACTTGATATCTTGATCAAACCTATGAGAACATGAAACTCAAGTTATGTTGGAAAAGATATCCAAGGTAGGATATGGTTTGGAAGCCTGTAGATCTTCAAGACTATATCAGGCAATATGGATTTCATTAGGCAACCTGTTAAGCCATTGATGTTCTAACATCACGTTGAACATCTAGATGTTTTCTCTGAAGGTGTTGTATGAAGTGAAGTTACATCATCTTGGGATAAGCTAATCTTCAGTTTAGAGGCTGGCTCACGAGTGTATAAATCGCTATAAAAGTTTTCTACACTTGTGTGTATCTTTCAGTAGTTGATATTCCAAAGTACTATAAACTTCTTGGCCTTTATATACTTTTGTTGGAGTCTCATATAAGCTGTTTGATATGAGCATTCCAAAATTCTGGCTGGTGCAAGGAGGATTTAGAACTGAAATATCCAGTCTTACTGGTTGATTAGAATATCATTGATCATCTTTTTAGGAAGTTGTGTCAAGTAAGGTTCTGTCTAAGCATGGGTCCAAGAAATGTGTGTCATTTGTTGTTCAAATGTTGATGCACCTTGCTGTATGAAGGACTGTTAAAAGGAATAGAAAATAGAAGACTTGAGGAGGAGCTGGTTCCTTCATTTCCTTGTTGGTTATAAATGGAATCTTCTCTTAAGGTGCTTAAGGATGAATGTGTCTCTGTATTAACTATGTGGTTCTGGAGGAAGCTTCATGAGAAGTATGCAAATTTATTTCTCTCAGTGGTACTCTATCTATTGCGATGTCTAGTTTTTTTTACTACTTTGAGATCCTTATGAAGGACCTCTATGCAAATGCTGATGTCATATGTGATGTTGCAACATCATACCTGTTTTTGGAAAATGACTTGGAATTATGGTGTGAAGTTTGATACTCACCATTTGATTTAGAAGTATGCTATCTAATCATGCTAGAGAATAATGTGGAGAAGATTGTCCTTGAGGATGTTATGATTTATGATGGGATCAAAATGCTTGTGGGGAAGTGGTTTCTTCTGATATAAGTTACTCTTGAAAGAATGGGTTTATTTGAGTCTTGTGAAGCAAGTGAACAAAGATCTATTACTATGGATATTGTGATTGATGAGAATGACATCTTGCATAACCAAAGAGTTGAGATACTTGGTTGAGATAGTTCAGGGGGTTTGGATG